AATTCAAGGTTAGAGTCAGAAAACAAAAAGCCACTGTTCCAGGGTCTGGGCAGTGCATGAGATTGTGAGACAAGAAATTACACATATAAATTAATCCCTGGTAACTTAATTGGATGTATGTGTGTATATAAAGAGATATATGTGTGTGTGTATGTATATTTTCAATGTTGATATTCCTGTTTAAATTGTGCATTTATATAACTTTTATAGTGACACTCACGGTTACCTTATCTTTTTGACTGACAAAAATGGGATTTCAGTCATGCTCAGCCTTTCCTACAGTGCCAGTGATGGGATTTTTTGAAATCTTATTACTGGTTGCACTGCCCTGATCTCAGATGGAACTTTCAATCAAAAAGGCAATCAGAAGGTTATACATTCGTGAGATTCCCTGCAAAGCCAGTGATCGCATAATACAACTTGTTGGAAGGGCCTACTTGCCTCCAGTCCTTATGTGGCTATAAAGAATAATTGGCTACTTAGCTCTCAGCACCCGCATTTCCTTCTCCAAAATACAGCACAGCCCAGAGCTCTATTGAGACTCAGTGTGAAGTCTGGCTGCTCCTAGGAGATTTCTAAGTCTCACGCAGAGACTAGTCTTACTTTAAGCATCTGATTAAACAAACTCTCCCAAAGACACATTTGGCTCTTTCCAAGCATTCTTGTCTCACTGGCGAGGCCAATGAATCTAAGTTTCCTTTTATTTTGTACATGCACGCAAACACCCATACATTCTTTTCTAAGACATTTTTGTTGTAAAGTTCATATCCTAGGAATCACAACTCTGTATGGGAAGGTGAACACTTGAAATGAATGTCTAGCATATTTTAACCATCCTATTATAAATTAGTTTTAATCTTAACTGTGCTCATCAAAGATTATTATAAAGAATGAGCTCTTAATACTCTGGAGTATACATATATGGGTGTTTAAAAGACACTTTTGTAATTTGACTTGATCTATTAGCAGACAGGGCTGAGGCTGAATCGATCCCTTGAAATGTCCAATTACCCAGGATGCCTCACTTCCCCAGACAGGAGCCCTAGCTTGTGAGGTAGGCAAAGAGAGATAATTTTGTTTCACTTGGCTCCAACTCAATGGTTCTTCTCCATTTGGCAGAAAACCCTTGGGCAGGAATACGTTTCAAAAATGGAAAATGACTAGTGGTTGGGACATAGTAAAACCCTACACATTAAAATGCCTATGGATTGAATAAGCATTTTATTTGAAAAATAACCACACATGTATATAGAAGGCATGTCAGTATACTGCTGCAACAGAAAACAGTGAACAGAGACAAAAACAGTCATTTTGATAAAGTAAAAAATATGTATTAGAAAGCTGAACTTGAGGTACCCAAATTTTAAAAGTTTGGGAACCCCGGTCACCTCTTGCTTAAGGAAGTCCTGGCCAGCATATCGCTAAGGTAAAATGTAGTTAAGTCAAGGGGTATAAACATGGTGTTACTCACTTGTTTCCATATTATAACACCTTTAAATGGCTTTTCAAGCACAAAGTGCTAGAATGGGAGGGGCAAAAACAATCATATGGTATTCTCACCTATAAGTGTAGCCTAATCAACAAAACAAATGAGCAAGAAGAATATAACCAGGAAGACTGAAAGAAAAAAGAAGCCAACAGTAACGAGAAGGGAGGAGAGAAGCAGGTAACCAGGAAAAGAAGGGGAAGGGGTCAAATCAAGGAACATGTATAAAGGACCCATGGACAAAGCCAAAGTGGGGAAGGATTGAGGGTAGCAGGTGGGAGTAGGTGGGGCCGGGGGAATGATGGTGGTAAAGTGGAAACAAATGTATTTGGAAAAAAAATTTTAAAAAAAGAGAACTGGAGATCGTAGTGACACAGCGGATGGTTCTGGGAACAGCAAGAGGCTTGCCTGGCCGAGCTACGGACTTCTTTTCCTTCTGAAGGACGGTACCTTTGATTGGTCTGACTGGAGTGACTGGGCAAAGGGGAGGGAAAGGCAGATGGTGTGTGTTGGTGGGTGTTTTAAAGAAATTTTGAGATTTAACAGCGACATTTAGCCGTTATTCAAAACCTGTATAACTTTTGAATAAGTGGTTTCTTTCCTTTTCACAAAAAATTTAAAAAAATCAGCAAGAGATTCACATTTTCTTTTCTTTAAAAAAAAAGATTTTATTTATGTATTTTGAGAGAGAGAGGAAAGAAGGAAGAGAGGGAGAGAAACATCAATGATGTATAAGAGAAAGGTAGATCTGCTGCTTCTCGCACACTTCCAGCTGGGGAACTGGCCTGCAACTCAGGCATGTGCTCTGACGAGGAATTGAACCATTGACCTTTCAGTTCACAGGCTGGCACTCAATCCACTGAGCCACATCAGCCAAGGTGAGATCCACACTTTTATGTTCTTTACACAGGCAAAATGAATTATGAGGTAAGGTTTGGGCAACTGGTATACCTTGACATTATCTCCTGCCCATGAAAACCACTATATGGCAATGATCCTATTGATTTCCAAGATTTGAAGATACAGATTTTACACTCCTAAAATTAGTGTAATTTTTCTTAAGCATGTTTACATATCTGTAATCTATGGCACTTCACTGAGAAATATACTAAAATGAATCCGTTATGCAAAAGAAAAGTAAAGCAATAATCTCACCTTGGTTTAGAATGTGTAAGACAGGGTATTACTGCTCTATAAAATTACCACTGATTACTCCTACTATTAATAACCTACATATTTGTTTCAGACACTGTTTCAATTTTCAAATAAAATGCATATTCAATCCATAGGCATTTCAATGTGTCTGTAGGTCTTTACTAAGCCATTTTGGGCAATTACTTTGACCTCCAATAGCCATCGTCATGTTCTTCTCAGGCAGGTAGGTGGGGGAGCTACCACCTATTTTTGACCAATGTAGAATTCTCTAACAGGCTATCTTTCACTCAGAGCTCCCTAGCTGGCTGGCAGAGACTCGTCAGATCTCTGTTGCCATCTAAGGCTCTCTTGCCAAATTCTGAACTCTAATCTCTTTCTTTTTGCATTTTCTACATTTTTACATTTCTTACTTTATAGTCCCCTGTGTGAAAACTTTCCCAGCTCCATCCTACTTCCTCCCTCTTTTACTTTGTGCTCTTAAATCTGATTCAACTGTCTGATTCCATGAGAACCCAGTTGTCACGGTTGTCACAGCTGGACTAGCCTTTGCATATACCATGTCCCTTTCATGTCCTTGTTGGTATCCTGCTGTGTGATTCTTGCCAAGCCATTTCACTTCCCTGGTTCTTTGTATAAAGACTCTTACAAAAAAAGGCGATTCCTGGAATAATTTAGTTGGACATTTTACAATTCCGGTTAGGCTGGAAGACTCTGTTAGCAGGTCTTCATCTGATTGGGGAAAAGAAGAGTGAAGACAACAAAGGTATTTATAAAAATATATTTCACAAAGTAGGAAACAATACAGGAGTTTCTCTGAATACAATACATGGAGTAAATAAACAATATTGCATTAAAGCAAAGTAGAAAATTAAAATGATCTGCATGTAGTAGTTCAGTTTCATCATACATTTTCTACTCCTAAGGGTCAGGTTCGCATTACAAATTGAATATGCTCACATCTTCTGGGGGCTGTTCTCTTTTGGAGGCTAAGACGTTCTGTGTATCACCATGAAGATCAGGGAGAGAAGTGCTAAAAACAGAAGCAGTAAAATTATGTACAAATCAGTTCCTGCTGTCAAACATTGGGGGTAACTTGAAGCATGTTGATTGGGCAGGGCATCGTGTCGGTATCTAAAAGTCTAGAATTTAAATATTCACAGGAATCAACATACTTTCGGATGTTTGTGCTTGTAGTAAAAACACCAAATACTAGGATTATGAACAAAATAGAAAACAGTCCAAAAGTTTCTCTGGGAAAATGCTGTTCCTGCCATTACCAATCACATGAACACTTTCTAATCTAAAGAGACTAATAGTTCCCCTTTTGATAATATTGCCTGCCATACTCATCTCATCAAAATGTACATGTATTAAACATTCATTGTGTATATATATATATATTTATATTTATATAAAACAATCTAAAGGATTATTAATGGATATAATTTAGCTTTTTTTCCATATAGTCCCTTACTCTATAGATTACCAACCTTAATAAATAAAAGCATTAATGGACATCAATAAAATATTTATTTTTGAGGATTAAACAAATAAAACCATCTGTCTCTTATGTAGTCCACTGTGTGACACAGTTTATCTTTGTGTTCTTGTGGAAGAAGGTGAAGTGGAGGGAAGGAGTAATCCTGCTTCCAAAAAACAAGCCTGTTCAATGGGATTTCTCTCCTCCCACCACCGAGTTGGCAGTTCCCACCGTGGAATGGATTACGAACATGTGAATATTTTAAGGCTCGACACAATGCTTAAAGATGCTATTCAGTCTCTGACGCGTGGGGCCAACAATTATGTACAATGTGTGGTCACCGTACCGTGTAATCTAGGAGGCCTTCCCAAATTCCCAAAAGTCAGAATGTACAGCCGACCGAGTATTGCTTTATCATGTGTGGCGGGATCCTTATTGATGAAGGGGAATAAACCATTCGCATCTATAAAAATCCTTGCAGAAGACACGTATCAGCAGCAAATTCCTTGCAAGTCCGTTTTTCTAAGAAAGCACCTTTTAATTTAGATTTTTTCCTCTCTTTAAACCATTTATTTTTCCTAAGCATTAGCCAGGATCCCAATCTTTGTCTGTGGTGGTCACGTAAATACCAAATATCCAAAGACTTCTAGACACTCCACATAGTTTAATTCACACTCCACAAGATTTATAACCTCCTAACATATACTTTTTTATTTTTATTATCGATTTTTTGGTTCAACATTAAAATGTAGTTGAGTTTATAGATGATTGGTGCTAAACTTGCCTCTAAAACAAATAGCCACATTGGTTGTATCTAAGGGGAGTGACCCTAGAATATTACAGAATGCGCAGTTCCACTGATTTATTTAGAATCCACTGTCAAGTTTCTTTGTCACTTTCACCAACAGAGTAAAGTTCACCCAGTCTCTTAAAGCGGGGACCCCAGTCACTGAGGTAGTCAAAATTCTGGTCCGAGTCTGAGGTGGTGGACTCCAAGGAGCTCAGGGACCCCGCCACGGACCCTCGGCCTTCGTAGCCGTAAATCTGAATGGAGTCGTAGGGCGGGGCTGTGGGGTCGTTGTCGGCCTCGTGGAGCCGCACGTTTATAAACTCATCCACGTCCACGCCGTTTGGAACTGGAGCAAGCCCTTGCCTCGGCATAAACTGCAAATCTGGCTTAATATCCTTACGGGGTAAGAACCCATTAATTCCATCTGGGTTTTGTAGAGTTGCAATATCAAAAGCCTCCGTGTCTTCTTCGCCTCCTCCTTCGTCATCGTAGCGGATGATGTTTTCTCGGACGTCTTCATCATCTTTGATAATTAATGGCTCATTTTTATGTCGCCTTAGAGTTACAAACAGCACCACGATGACTGCAGAAAAACAAGAACAAAACAGGAAATAACAATTAGGCTAAGTCACAGATAATTTTATGAGCAACACACCCTGTAGGTTCAGAGAGACAGTCATTATTTTAAAACTTACGAGCGTATAGCTTTAATAACATTGACGGGAATTTAAGCAAAACGCCTTTGTGAAGGATGAGCACTGAATTTTGAGTGAATACTATTTGATTTCAATATCAAGAAAAATACCTGAGGAAGACAATGTAATACTGAAGAGATATATACGTATATATGTATATATGTATCTTCAAAATTACATATAGTATTTATGTTTATTATATATAATAAATACATATCTGAAGATATATACTTGGATACACACACACACACACACACACACACACACACACACACTTGTTTTCTTTGTATCTCACCAAACTTTGTGATTAGATGGACTCAGCAATCCAATCTGCAAACTCTTTAAAGACTGTTTTGGACATACGGGATCCCATTATTGCGGCAAACCAGGGACATCCAAAGATCTGGAGGTCTCCTTTACTATAGATGCTCTTGTAACTATAGTAAACTCCCCACTCCCCACTCCCACCAACATGATGCTTCATCTGTTTTTTTCACTGGTGATGTGATTGAAAAAGACATCACACAGGCCTCTCCACTGGGACATTTAACTATCACAACCATTTTTCTCTCCCCTGCCTCATCGGGACCTCAAAGCTTGGAGAAGGAAAACAAAGCTCCTCTCCCCAAAAGAATGCAGATGCCTGGCGTGCTCAGGGTTTGCCGTCCTTAATTCCAGTCATTTATGAACCAGAAGGATGGTAGCCCTTAGGCTATGAAGACCATACGTACCTAGCAGCAAAATGATGCATGCCAGTATGGCGATTAAGGCGCCCATACTGAGTCCAATCGGAAGGACATACGCCTCGACATTGCACGACTGGACGACGCCATCTGTGCTGCAGCCACAGACCCGGATGGTCAGGGTGCTGGTGCTGCTGAGAGGGGGATTCCCGCTATCACTGATTATGATGGGTAAAAGGTAGACTTCTTGCTTCTGGCGGTTGAATCCATTATGCTTTGCCAAAATGCTGAGGGAATTATCTGGAAGAGGTGAAAATTACAGGAGTTTGCATCATTTCAAACATGGCTGCCCAAACAACACTTATGTTTCCAGTTCGTAAATGCTCTGCCAGACACAGGACACTCCCCGTTCCACTGGACCCCTCAGGCTCTTTGCCCTTTCCTTCTCCCCATTTTCTCCATTGGTGGGGACCGCAACTTCTACATGCTTACAGGCCCAACGAATGGGGCCCCATGATGAACTAATGGAGTTTTAACATCATCTTGTAAATGCAACATATTTCTTTTATTAAAAAAAATTCTCCTTGCAGAAGACACAAATTACCCCAAGTCCCATAAATAAGTTTAATTTTCCCTTACTTATCCTGATTATGCAAAATTGGCTTGACAGAATTCCACATTTGAAAGACATGTTTGCGAAGGTCTGCGTTAAAACCTAGACTACGTGACAATATGGCATATAAAACAATGCACTTTGACGCCCACAGGTACCTAAAAAGTTATTCACTCCCAGAGCATTTATACTAAAGTAACAAAGTCCTATTCATTGCCAGCTGGCAGAGATATGATACATTTCTTAAAATTCTGTGGCAAAGGCCTATAGTGATTACACAAATAAGAATAAAATTAGAAGTCATGAGAAACAGTGTTCCATTTTGCATGTGTCAATGAATTATATGGAGATACACATTGGTTATCTGAAGCAACACTGAAGGACATTTAAGTAATATTTAAGGGCACACTTCAGTTCAAAGGAAAATTTGTCAGTGATTAACCCCATGTTAACCTTATGGTTCTCTAATTGCACCCTCAAATGATATTTTTTGTTGTCTTCATCTCTATCTCACAAACTATAGTCATATTACATATATTAATTATTAATCTATTTTCTCATTTTGTTTAATGAAAGACATATCTATTCAAAATAGAAATACTAATTATCTCACACTGGTTTTCCAGCCAAAAGCAAATAAACTTAATTTTGGTAAATGTGTGTAATATTTTTTGGGGAGGAGGAACAAAATGATTATTTCAGTAGAATTTCTTTGCAAATATTAGCAAATTTGCAGGCCCCAAAATATTTGGCTACCTCATTGTTGTATATTAAGGGCAGGGATTCCAAACCATTGCTGTCTAGTTCCTGGTCATCGTCATCTTATTGTTTCCAGAATGCTCAATTATACAAACAGATAGTCTACTCAAATGACTTCAAGTCAATGTGTTAAATCTTCTGCACCATATAGAGCTATACCAAGATTTCCACAAAATGATAGACATTTCCTAAAACAGAAGCATAGATTATATTTAATTTTCTTTGTTTAAGGTATAACTGGCCCTATAATGCCCTACTATTAAGCAGCCAGACAGAAAAAGACACTCTTAGTTAACATTTTAGAGGTTTTTAAATTTCTAAAAAGTTTAGAAATTTTTTTCTAAATTCCTTCTGATTGGGCTTCATTATTTAGCAATTTGAAGAGTGAAAAGGAGTCTCTAATGGAGTTAAACAGTGATATACCAAATGATCCAGTAATCTTCATTTTCATGACCTAGAAGGAAATACCACTAAGCTAAAAAGAGAAGAACATTATCTCAAAACCAATATAGAATACAGAGCTGTGTTCAATTTTCAGAAAATGTGTGACAAGTTTGAGTACAGTTAATTAGTGCAAGGAACATTTGTGGATGATTTCATATACCACAGTTCAAAACAAAAGATGGGAATTGTTCTTCAAGATACAATGAATAAAATTACAACAAGGCTTTTTTTCTTTTTGGTGATTGACATTATTTATATGAGAAAACTATCTTTGTATATTTTCTCTTTGAAACAATCTATAATGACAATTTAGAAAGTGAAGCAGGAATATTACTCTTGCAGAACAAAGCTTCTTCTTTATTATGTAGAAAAGCATTAGAGGGTCTAACACTATACTTATACGTGTGTGTATTGTTTACTACTTCTGACATTTGTATATGTTGTTCTATAGGCAGAAAATTATTTACGGCGTAAAGGTATGAGTCAGTTTCGGTAAATTTCCCTGCTACCTGCAGGGAAGGTCAACTCGTTATTTGCCAACTCACTTTTTTAAAAGAACTATTTTTTAATTCATGTTTGTATTTATTAATGATTGAGTTTAGTTATTTCATTAGACCAAATAAAATGGCCTCTAATGTAGACATAAGAAAATCATCATATATCAGCACATTTTAAATTTATGTATTTAATTACTAATTTTTTTTTTTAGAGGGAAGCTACTTAACAGCCCTAAATGGTCCTGGAGGCAAGCAACAAATGAAGGAACATTCAGTCAGGAAACTACTTGGTAAGAATGGTGGGACTGTCACGTGTGGATCATAGCCCACTTCTCCCATCCCTGCTCCCAGCTCTGTTAGATGGAAATTCCACTCTAGACTGGTGCAGCCAAGAAGCCAGGGCTTCCTCTCCCCAGCTGGCAGTTAGAAGGCTATCTTAACAGGAGTGAAAGGATGTCATTGGTTCCTATCTCGCTCCTACCTACCTGTTGCTGAAACTAATTTTCGGATCAGTGTGCCAAGAGATGGGGCTCCTTTTTACTTCATGGCTCCTACCTGCGTAACAGAGGCTTTACCTGGGCACAGGTCCACTGGGAATATGAGGGAGAAACACAGGACCTCAGCTACCCTTGCCCTGGCCCATAAGGCAGTGGTTCCACATGGGAGTTCCATGGGAGGGGCAAGTCAAAAACACTTGCTACTACTGTCTCCCAGCACTAAGTGTTTAGCTCCAAAGTAGAAGTGTCAGGGAGATAATACTATAGTCTCTAATTCAGTTCCAGAGCCAATGGCTTAGAGTCTTGTTTTGATGGAGAAGCAGAAAACTTGGGAAGGAGATGGGGAGTCTACTTGCATGAGAACAAACATGAACCACTGATCAAGGAAATACTCTTTGGAAGAGGCCCAAACTTGTTTGTATTCATCTGTAGAATATTTTTTTAAATTTTATTTATTTATTATATAGAGAGAGGGGAAGGGAGGGGGAAAGAGAGGGAGAGAAACATCAATGGGTGGTTGCCTCTTGAGCGCCCCCTAGTGGTAACCCTTCCTGCAACCCAGGCATATGCCTTGATCAGGAATCTAACCAGTCACCCTTCGGTTTGCAGGCTGGCTCTCAAGCTACCGAGCCACACTAGCTGGGGCTATCTATAGAGTAATTTAGGTCCTCCAAATGGAAAACAATTCAGAAATGATCTGACAATTAGTAAGGTTTAACAACTGGTGTGTGGTCAGGGAAAGAGACAAAGAGAATGCTGCCAAAATCATCATCATTCCAGGCTGACTGCAGGCATACCAAAGGCTAGGATCCTATTGCAGAGGGGAAATAAACTTCTCTAAAATACTCTAGCCAAGTAAATAACAACAAGAAGCTCTGGGTTGGGGGGCTTTAATATCTAGATTTCTAAAATATATCATTGCCAATGCCCAAGAAAAGATTACAAGACATACAAAGTAACAGAAAAACGTGACCCACACATAAGAAAAAAAATGTCAGACAAAACGAAACTGTCCAGGAGAGCAACCAGATGACAGATTAATCAAAATCTTCTAAGGAGCCATTATAAAGGAGTTCAATGAGCTAAAGCAAGCTATGATTAAATAAGGAAAGAAAGGTATGATTACAATGTCACATCCAACAGAGAATATCAATAAATTGATAGAAATTATTTTTTAAAAGAGCACAGTGGAAATTCTGGAGTTGAAAAGTACAATGTGAAACGAAAAATTAATTAGAGTGGCTAAATGGTAAATTTGAAGTGGCAAAAGAAAACATTGGTGAGTGTGAAGATAGGTTGGAAGAAAATATGCAAGATAAAGAATAGAGAGAAAAAAAAAGAATGAAAAAAAATAAACAAAGCCTCCAAAAAACATGTGGCACTATTAAGCATACCAACACCCATGCAATAAGAGTACTAGAAAGGAAGAAAGAAATAATATTTGGCTTAAAACTTCAAAAATTTTTTTAAACATTTGTCTACATGTTCAGAAAGCTCAATGAACTCCAAGGAGATAAACACAGAGATTCACAAACAGATATATCACAGTAAAGAAGCTGAAAGTCTAAGACAAGAAGCAAATCTTTAAAGAAAAAGAAAATGGACTTATGTCCAAAGGATCCCAAATAAAATTGACAACTGAGTTCCTAAGGAAATAATAAAGGCCAGAAGGAAATGGGATAACATATTTAAAGTGTTTAAAGGCAAAGCTTTTAACCAAGAATCATATGTTCAACAAGCTATCTTTCAAAAAAAGGATATGAGAGACAGTCTCAGATTTTTTAAAAAGTGAGAAAACTTGTCCCTAGCAGAAATGCTTTGTAAGAAACACTAAAAGAAGTTCTTCAGACTGAAAGCAAATAACCATATTTGGTAATTTGAAATCACATTAAAAACAAAGAGTTTCCAAAAAAGTAATTATGTAGTTTTATAAGATAGTTTAAATATATATTTTCTTTCCTTCTTAACTCTTTTAAAAACCAATTGTATAAAACAATATGTACATAATATATTGTTGAGTATAAAATATCTAGAAATTCCATAATAGTAGTTGAATAGTCAAATATCCCACTTTCAATAGTGGATAAAACAATGAAGCAGAAAAATAAAAAACAAGAACATAGAAGACTTGAACAACAGTATAAATCAACTATACCTAACAGATGTCTATAGAACATTCTACCCAATAAATTTTCTTCTAAAGTACACATGGAACATTCTGCAGTGCAGAGCATATCTGGGCCATAAAATAAACTTCATTAATTTAAAATAATAGAAATAATATAAAGTTTGTTCTCTGGCCATGTGAAATAAAATTATATGTGGATATTTTAAAACTTTGGAAACTCATAAATATGTAAATATTAAACAATGTATTTCTCAATAACCAGTGTGTCAAAGAAGAGCTCAAAAGGAAAATTAGAAAATATTGTGAGGTAAGATAAATGAAAGTACAGCAAATCAAAATACCAGAGATGTTGCTAAATCAGT